TTAATTAAATCATTTGAGGTTTCCCTGCAAAATCTATCAAAAAATAACAGAATTTATTGATAAAAGTTTTTCAGACAAGAGTTTTTGGTAAAGACATCAAAGTCCAAATAAAATGAAACACTCTGTTAAGAACAATAGACCGGTTTAGCGATATATTAATAAACAATATAACCGGTGTTTGTCTCWAACAGCCATAAGTCTCTCAGTGGACGGTCCTGTCCGTGTCCCTCTCCCCCTCAGCTCCACAGCTGGAACAGAGACCCAACGAGCGGCACTCTACTGCCAGTCACATCGCAGGGTCCCGGCCTGCCGCTGCAGTGGAGCTTTTTTATTATCGCTCATTTTACCCACATGACGAGGCTTCACCTGGTTTCTTTTTTTTTTAAGGATAAAGATTTAGAGGAGTTAGAGTCTGAACTCTCATATGACAGAGACTTTGACTAAAGAGAAAAAAGTGGTGTTTTTTGGACTGGGGGTCGCATGGTGAGGACACAGGGGGTCATTGTTGTGAGGAACAGCCCTGAAACAGTGCCTGTCTGTCAGTGAGGACCCATGTCCCTGAGCCTTTCTGCCTCAATCACATCTGTTGGATTTCTTGTCTCAATTAGTGCTGATCCCAGTAAAAAACACTCACGTGTGTGCGAGGAGAACATGTCACACCTTTTAACAACAGGTGTGCATATTTACTTACTTTTTTATTACTTGTTAAGTTCATTTTATAGTGATCTGATGTTTAAAACATTTAGAAAGTAAAGGAGTGTTTTACATTTGGAGTTTTTGTGAAGGAATTTCTCCATATTTTCCCTGAAATAAAAATAGGATTAAATATATTTTGAAATTRTTTTCACCTTCCTGCCCTCATCCCTTGACTTCATATTTAGAAATTTGAACATACAACCTTTTAAACCAATTAGCCAAATAAATTAAAAAAAAATAAATTAAATGAAAAATAAAAATAAATATTTGATGAAGCACATGTTTTAAACAAAAATGGTGCAGTTGCAGTGGCTAACAATCCAATTTATTATAACTAAATCCAGCTAAATTTGTTAAGTTGATATGAAAACCTGAAATATTTCATTAGTTACGAAACTTTTCAGACAATTGATTTTTGGCTGATACAGGTTGATACAAATTGTCATTTAAAAAAAAACTATGGGAAATTAAACAGTTACTAAAATACATGATATAAAAACAAGTTTATGAGGTTTGATTGTTTGCCTTTAAAAATGGCTCTGGACTGCAACAAAATGTTTTATTAAAAAAAGTAAATGTAGCATCTAACTAACTAAAGTTTAAATCAGAGGTATAACGTAACAAAATACTTTAAATACTTTAGTTAAGTAGAGGTTTTGGTTACTGAGGTAAATAATTTTCAGCCTTTTTACTCATTAAATTTTCAAAACAGTCTTGTCACTCTTATTTCATTAACTTGACATCATTAAAAATAAGTGTGGCTCCTCCAGTGAATTCATGCAGCTGAAACAGGTAGTCGTGTGCAATGGTTCCTAAAGTTGGGGTCAGGACACTGTGGGTCTTGAAACATCAAAGTGGTGTTTTGATTCCATTTAAAAATGACTAACAACAAATTTTACAGAGATGGAACAAACTGCTCTTTAAGGGGATCCAGATCTTGACAATCCATTTGTTTCATCCATTTATATTTAAACTGAGTCGTCACATATTGACGTTTTTCAAAGGTCCCTTTGCGTCCAATTTTGACGCATCAGGTACCCCCCTCGCGTCACTCCTTGCCGCCCGCGGCTTTTCCGGGTTGCGCCACCAGGGGTCTTTGGGTCGGGGGTCTGAGGTTAACATTAGGGATCAGGATAAATGGTTAAGTTTAGGGACTGGGGTCAGGGATAGGATGTCTACAGGTATTTTCTAACCTAGAACTCAGAGAAACACAACAACCCCGCCAAACATTTAAACAATTGACAACAGAGACCATTAAGA